GTCTTGGTGGTACTATGGATTTTTTTTGTCACAGAAAAAGGAGCCTGTAGGAGATGATGAGTCTCTACCAGAAAGTGCACAAAAACTTGATGATCTCACTGCAGACATACTAGCGGTAAGTTAGATTTCCATCTTCCACTAGTCTTTGGACATTATGAAAAAATAGCCATTAACGGGCTTTTATTCTGATGTTTTTCTGATTCTTTTCCTGACATAAGTATGATTCCTTGCTGTACTTTACTGTATATGTATGCCTGCATTCTGGGACCTCGACCAGGTCATTTAGTGCAGCCCCAGCCTGTTAGATTTTGCTTAGAGGTACACTGATATATCAGTCCATATTGTATCGACACGGATAAAAGGAAGATTGACATTATCAGCATTTGACTTTTTTTGGCCAGCGTAGCCGATAATATCACCGATAAATGCACCCCAGCTGGGCAGCGCCTGCCCCTACCCCAGCCCCACTCTCACCCTCACCATGGGGGCTCAATCCGCCCCCCACCCCCAACTTACTGATCGGACACTGCTTTCTAAGCTGCTGGGCTGCATGTTGGCAATTGGATCAGTATTGACCGATATGGCTGGTTAATAATCGGCCATCGTTATTAATCAAAAAAAAATCTTTATTGGTGCACCCTTATAATTTGGCAATATCCCAATTTCAGATGGGGTGATTAGTGGTGCATGCAGTAGTCTAGGCATAACTGCACACGTGATTCATATAATTAGAAGGCTTTTTTCTTCTCCACCCCAGTCCCTCTGCATGCTGCCATCTTTGTTTTACTTACCAGAGTGGCATAGAGTAGAAGGTTGTCTTTGAGCTGTCTATAGCGATGCTGGGTCCCATTTCTGAGCTGATAGAATGAATTTAAACTGCTGCTAGGTTTTGGAGTAGTTCCTATTATTCCTAACAACATACAATATTTGGTATTCTTCAGTGGTGAACTTAATTAGCCATTGTATTACCGATTTGTTTGGCTTCCTTATAGTTTTCTTTGGATTTGACCAAACCAAGTCGTTCCCTGTCATCTCCAATCTCGATACCCCCTGCTTTCTAGCATATTAATAAATAATAAACAACCGTAGAATTTTGAAGCACTTCTGCTGTGATGGAAACTGCCCTTTTGTTTGTAGTCCTTTTCCAGTTTTTCCAGTGCTTTGTTTCTCACCACATGGCAACCTAGCTTCTTCAGTAGCTTCTTGTGAAAGTCTTTGTTCAAAGCCTTGCAAAAGTCTAACACCCCAATTTTGGGGGGGCTGATTTTTTTGGAGGGCGGGGGGTGGTGTATATCAGGTGTCAGCAACCCCCAGCATGTGTGTCAGAGTGTGGCAGGTGAAGCTGTTTTTCTCGGTACGCCACAGCCAGCCTGAGCTCTGGGCAGTCCCATGCTGGCAGCCGTGGAGCCTGAGCTGCCTGCAGCAGGCGGTGGGGAGGCTGTAAACAGGTGCACCAGCCCTGGCTGGCTTGTTGCTGGTGGCAAGTGCATGTGCACCTTGGGGCAGACAGCAGAGAAGGGGCTGTGCTGCTCCAACAAAGATCAGGCCCCTTGCGGCGCCCTTGTCATCTGCCCCTGGGATCTTACAAGTTGAGGTTGGAGGGTTTTTTGGCACTTTGCCCAAAAACGTTGCTGACCCCTGATGTATATTGTATATGAGAGAATACAGCATGTCAAGTAGTGGTCTTTTAGCCAATACTGTATTGACACATTCAGTGAATTCTGATTGATGGTGAAATAAAACTTTTCTTTGCAAAAGCCAGGTAGTTTAAACAGAGAATCACGGTGGTTAGTGGTACTTAAAGGGCCATTGTCCTTTTGCTAGAATAAGGATGTTAAAGCTATTTTTTCCTGTTTATAAAGTTTCTGTTGTGATGTATGTAGTGTTTTGTTTGTAACAGGGTCTTCGGGTATCCCAGATCAAGAAAGTTCGGATTCTCATTGATAATGCTATCCTGAAGTGTGATTCAGAGCGGGTGAAACTGGAAGCACAGAGGTTTGAAAACCTGCGAGAAATTGGAAACCTCCTCCATCCCTCTGTGCCCATCAGCAACGACGAGGTACGAACAGATGCATCCCCTTCATGTAGATGGTAATTCCGGTGAGTATAGGGAAGTAACATATAGTCAGTTCCAAACAGCCGTGCACGGGCACATCAAAGCAAAATGCCGAGGGTCCTGGTGAGCAGGGAACACTGAAATGAGGTCCCTGCCGAAAGCGCTTGCTGAGATCTGGGATCAAGTGAATGAAATCTGCATGACAAGACTGCATTCCCTGTGGAGAAGGAGCTCACCGAGCATAAAGAACTGCTCAGAGTGCAGCATGCTGTCATTGTTTGAGGAATACATGGGAAACTTTGTCAGAGCCAGGCGCTGGGATCTGCCTTTGCTGATTAATTCATTCAGCAAGAACATTTATCTTCAGGACTACAGTTGGGTTGGGCTGGCATCCAAGTGGCAGGATAATGTGCTGTCAGTAGGGGGCAGTGTTGGGGTTCCACACTCTTGCTCACTTGGTCACTCTACAGACAGCATAGTCTGGAGTAGACATTCATACAGGGTAGAGCCTCAGCATGAGTTAAAGCATGTCTGCTCCACTTCTCAAGCACAATCTGCCTTTCACAAAACACACTGACCCGGGGTTATACAGACTGTGTTGGAATTCCTGCCTGAAGGGGCCAGGTTTCTGGTGTGTCTGTGAGCAGAGATTCTTGGGTCACTTTTCATTTTTCTTTCTCTCTTGCTCTCTCCATCTTGTGTGCAGGATGTGGATAACAAAGTAGAAAGGATATGGGGAGACTGCACAACGACAAAAAAGTACTCCCATGTTGACTTAGTGGTGATGGTGGATGGCTACGAGGGAGAAAAGGGGGCCATAGTAGCTGGAAGCAGAGGGTACTTCCTTAAGGTGAGAGGCCCCCCCCAGCACGCAAACCCTTCCTGTCTGTAGGGCACATGAGAGGACCTCAAATCAGACAAGCACAAGAACAGAAATGGACAGCCCATTTCCACCTGCTGCTGTTTTAGCTGAAAGTACCAGGCCTGGCTCTAGTGTTGAATTTGATCCCTGATTGTGTAGGAGGCCAACGGAGCCTTCTCTAGGGAGAGGAGCTCCCCTTCTGTGCTCGAAACCTACCCCTTAGTACATTTTGTTCTGAAGATCCTTGTCTTTGCTATATACATGACATTCTTAAAAGCTATCAAAGGGTATTGAGCTGGGCATGGGCATTAAACTGAGTGCTGTATGTGTCAAGCTGCAAGGAAGGAAGTTTTGAGCCCCAAATACTCCATCTTTCAGCTCTGTGTAATTTTTACTTATTTATTGTTTATCTGATTTATGTGATAGATTCTGGATGGTGGCTAGTGTTGCATTGTTTAGGCCCATCCATGGTGTCTGAGGTCCTTTTCCTACCCTAGTTATTTTGGTGAGGCTTTGTTTCATACGTGCTTGTGGCTTGATCTTCAGAGGAGCTCAACACATGTATCTGCCCTTAGAGTCTGTGGGAACAGTGGGTACTCATTCCTTGGAAATACAGTCCTTTGTGTGACCTGACAGTGGCTTTTCTTGTTTTTGTAGGGTGCCTTGGTCTTTCTTGAACAGGCTCTAATTCAGTATGCCCTGCAGACACTGGCAAAGAGTGGGTACACCCCCATCTACACCCCCTTCTTCATGAGAAAAGAGGTGATGCAGGAGGTTGCTCAGCTCAGTCAGTTTGATGAGGAGCTTTACAAGGTAAGCTGGTGGGAAGAGAGAAGCTGTGCACAGTGACAGGCTTGCATGGGAAGCTTCCATTTATCATGTGCTACAGGCAGCGCCTGTGGGCAGTTAGCAAGGGAGTCTCTTGGGATTTTCAAATCAGACCTTGTTGATCTAGACCAAGGATGTCACACCTGTAAGTGACTGGGGTATGTATGCCCCGTGGGTCGTACTGATGTGAGTTCTGGGAGCCCCCTTCCCCACTAGCACAGGCACACAGGAGCCTCCATTGCGCCCCTGCCCAGGCACCACATGCAGCCCCCTGCTGGCTTCCCCATGGCACCCTGTCACATGGAAGTTCTGGGCTGCCAGCTCGCCTGATACCAGAGGCTGCACTGTGCCATTCCTTGCTTATGGGAACATGCAGTGGAGCCCGGGGGATGGAGACAGCCCCAAGACCCTGGCTGCTATGACAGGTGGAGTTACAGGGGAGTGGCAGCTGGGCAGGAGCTGCATGTTAACCACTTACAAGTGCATGTGACTTGTGGGCTGCCAGTCAGATAACCCTGATCTAGACTTTTCAGAAGATTTTAGGGTAAGTTTCGAGTGACTAAGTGATAGTCTCTCACTCAAAAAGGATCAGAAGAGGCTTTTTCAAGCCTTGAAATCAGTGAGTCTGTTCATTATTCATCCTTCATTTCAGATCCTCACTCTAAAGAAATTTTGGTCCCTTTTTCCTACAGAACCAGATTTTCTGTTTTTTATATGTAGTGTCTTTAGGAATATTTCCTGGTCATGAAAGCCAGAGACCAAAGGTCCCTCATGTATAACTAAATATGGGCACTGTAGTATCTGCTTCCCTGTTCTGCTACTTCAAGGTCCATCTTTTGGAGTGAAAATCGTCTCCTGTCCTGCTTTATTTTTGGTCTGTGTTCTGAGACTACTCCTGACGGGGCCAGTTGTCATAATAACTTTGTGATGACGATAGATGTCTATCACAAACTGCATCATCAGGACCTGGACAGAGGCCAACATCACATTTTGGAGAGGTCAAACAAATATCCAGCAACTGGGGCTTTCCATCCTTGCTCATTTCTGAATGATTAGTCTGAGCTGGACTATTTCATAATTAATCTCCTGAGTTGTCCTGCTGAGTCTTCTTCATTTCAGACTGTCGTGCAATGCCTAGATGTCCTTGGTCATAGCTATCTTTTTCTCTGTGAATTTACATCTGTGAATTTACAACTGGAGATGCAGTGTCATGCTGAGATGTCAGGTAGCTCGTTAGCCCACTGTTGCACCTCGTCTCAGTACAGAACCATAGTTGCCAGTAACTGTGCTATCTTGTTTAGAGATAGATAATAGGAAGAACTTTATAACAGTGAAGGTGATTTAAGCAAGTTAACATAGATTACCTAACGAGGTGATAGAACCTGTGTTGTTGAAAGCATTTAATTGCAGTTAGACATTTGTCTGGGATGGTTTAGGCAGGGCTGATCCTACTTGGGGCATGTTAGAAGTTCCTTCCAGCCTTATTTTTCTATTTATTTCTGAACAGCACCCCATTGTATATGGTAGATGTACCCTCTGTCATGGTACAATGAAGAAAATGCATGTACACAGAATACAGTTTTCCATTATCATTTGTCCTGTTAGAGGATTTTTTGACCTGGGGGCTGTTGCAGTTCTGTGACAGAACTGTATCACTCAGTATTGCACACCCTCACAGACCAGTTTGTTCAGCTCTGATAACCTAATGGAGGGATATCACCTCCCCACCTTTTCTAGGTAATTGGCAAGGGTAGTGAGAGATCGGATGACAGCTCCATTGATGAGAAGTACCTCATTGCAACATCTGAACAGCCAATTGCAGCTCTCCACAGGGATGAGTGGTTGAAGCCAGAGGATCTGCCCATCAAATATGCTGGGCTGTCTACATGTTTTAGGCAGGAAGTTGGCTCCCATGGCCGTGACACTAGAGGCATCTTCCGCGTTCACCAATTTGAAAAGGTAAGAAAAAGGTACTTGGATCATTTGGGAAACATTGTAGATGATATTTCCTTCAAGATACAGTGTGTCTGAAGGGAAAATTAAAACACTAAACCCTTAATTGGAGGGGATTGGCATATGTATACATGCACTCTCTCCTGTACCAAACTCCTTTAAAAGTAATTCTTTCATAATGTGTCAGGGCATACGATACAACTGAGGTTTCACAAGGTCAGTGTATTCAAAGAATGTTTTATTCAGAAAAGTCATCTCTGTGTATAGGTGCTGCTACTGACTGTGGCTGCCATGCCTTGCCTTAGTGGTGGCTGCACTTAAAATAGTTAATCTGGCATAGAGTTTGAGGCTGCACCAGGCTTGAAGCACTCTGTAAATGCTGGTATGTGTACGCGTGTTGTTATTTCCCTTTCCTGTAGCTCCATTAGACCTGAATCCATCAGGTAAAGTTTGGTTTCTGCTGTCACCTCTGTGCATTGTTCTTGGTCCTTGTCCTGCCTTCAAGCTTGGACAGACTGAAAGGAGGCAATTTTACCTGTTTCTCTTTCCTGCTAGATTGAGCAGTTTGTCTATGCGTCACCTCACGACAACAAGTCATGGGAAATGTTTGATGAAATGATTGCAACTGCTGAGCAGTTCTACCAGTCGCTGGGCATTCCTTACCATATTGTGAATATTGTCTCAGGTACAGAATTTGGCTCTCTGATTCCTGAGTCTGCCTGCAGGTCTTTTGGGGTGAAGTGAAGGGACCAGTTGTTGATCTGTGCTGAGAAAATCAACGCAGGGCTCTAGTGGGCAGGACATTATACTAGGAGTAAAGCAGGGGTGGGCAAAATGCGGCCTGGGGGCCGGATGCGGCCCACCAGGCCATTCTATCTGGGCTGCGGGGCCCCTAAAAAATTTAGAAAAGTAATATTTATCTGCCCCTGGCTGCCTGTCATGCGGCCCTCGATGGCTTGCCAAAACTCAGTAAGCGGCCCTCTGCCCAAAATTACTGCCCGTCCCTGGAGTAAAGTCTACAGTGCTATTCCTGCCTTAACCTGTGGCTTGTTGCTGATCAGTAGGCTTGTGTGCCTGGTTTATGAGATTGGCCATTTAAATTGAATTGTTCAGCATAAAGACTGTCCTAGAACTGTTATTGCATTGAGGTTTCCTCTGAAAACCTTTGGCTTGATCAACCTTTATCCCTCTTTAAAGCAAATAAGTAGGAGCTCTGCAACATGTGTTCTGTGCATGTTGTGTAAAACATTGAGTGCATTATCTCCTGATATATTTGGGATTGAAAGGATACTTCACTTTCATACTCTGCGTGCTGTTACTGTTCACAGTCACTGATGGGTTTGAAAGAACAGCCTCTTTTTGCATGCCTGCTGTGTTTCTGAATCTGTCTTCTCTGGTAACTGGCTACCCTGTGATGTTTCAGGCTCTTTGAATCATGCTGCCAGTAAAAAACTGGACCTGGAGGCTTGGTTCCCAGGCTCTGGTGCATTCCGCGAGCTTGTGTCCTGCTCAAATTGCACAGACTACCAGGCACGTCGGTTACGGATTCGCTACGGTCAGACCAAGAAAATGATGGACAAAGTAGGTGATGTTTCAATACCATGCTTCGGTTCCTAGCATCTGATGAAGTAGATTGTTCCCTACAAAAGCTTATGCCTCTGAAACGGTTAATCTCTAAGGTTGTCACCGTGACCTATATTCTGCCTTACTTAGAATCATAGAAAAGTAAGGCTAGAAGGGACCTCTGGAGGTCATCTAGTCCAGCTGTTGGCCTGAGGCAAGGTCATCCCTATCCAAACCATCCAAACCATCCCATACAAATCAAACCTTTCACACAACAAGGCACAGCACGTTAACCTGCCATGGGTAAGGTTGGGGGACAATGCTGGTCAGGGTCCTGTTGCTGCAGGGATTGTTAGACTGCACTTAGGAGATCCAAGGAGGAGATCTGTGCTCCTGCTACACAGGAAGGCAAAACCCCCACAGTCCTTAACAGTCTGACCATGGGGTAAAATTCCTTGCTGACTCCAAATATGGCAGTTGATCTGACCCTGATGAAAAGGGCAAGGCCCTCTAGCCAGTAACCTCTGGGTTTTAGTCTCAACAGGAGCACTGGCACACCCCAGCTGATCTCCCCAGCCTTGGTTGCAGCCAACACCCAATGCTTCTAAGGAAGGCCGGGGGTAAGGGGTGCAAAACCCTGACATGTAGCAACAGGAAGGAGGGGGAAAATCCTCCCTGGCGCCAGGAAAACCCAGGAGCACAGGGACTACCCATAGCATAGTATGGCATAGCTACTCATAGACCTTTCCTGACCAATGCATATCCAACTTCTTGCTTAGTCTCCCAATGTGCCCTCTTGAGAGCAGTTAAGAAAACAGGCACCAAAGTCCTGGGAATCAAGTGTCTGAAGAGTAAACCATTTCCTAGGGTTCTCCCTGCTTTTGCTCCCCCAGTCCACAGCTGCTAAGTCAACTTGTTTTTGTTTATCGTCAACAATTTTTTTCATTGGAGGTATTCAGTACTCAGTTCCAGAGGATTAGGAGTCTAACAGTGCTGTATAGAACCTCAACCTGTGTCAGACAATTCAGCTTTCTTGGTCGTATTGGTTTTCAGTTAGGGCTGGTCCAAAAATGGAGTTTTTGCAACAGAAATTATGAATGCAAAAATGCCTGTAGTTAAATACACGTAGTTAAGTAGGTTGAGCTGCTGTATTAGACTGCATTTCCCATGGTGCATTACAGTTGTAGAACATGTTGATTTTCTTAGCAAAAATTTGATTAGCCAAATACTCAGGTTTAAATCCAAAATTTTGATTTGTAAGGGCTGCTGCAGCATCTAATGGGAGACGGTTTGGAAAATTCTTGTTCCCATTTGCCTCGGTAGGCTGAGCTGCTGAATTGGGCTGTATTTCCCATGGTGCATTATAGTTAGTTTCATAGTTTCATAGTTTCTAGGGTCGGAAGGGACCTGAGCAGATCATCTAGTCCGACCCCCTGCCATGGCAGGAAAGAGTACTGGGGAAGTTGCCTTTCTTGGAAGGGGTTGGGGGGGAAGTGGCTCCTTAGCTTCTATAGGGGTGGTGTCTTTGAAGTTTCTCTTAAGTCCTGGTTGCAATGCTGTTGGTTTTATCCCTTCAGGTGGAGTTTGTACATATGCTGAATGCCACCATGTGTGCTACAACCCGCACTATCTGTGCCATCCTGGAGAACTACCAGACAGAAGAAGGGATCATCATACCTGACAAACTGAAGGACTTCATGCCACCAGGTAAAACCAGAGAAAGCCATTTCATATGGCCCATGAATCCTTAATCTTCTTCCCTTATGTTCCCCTTCCTGTTTCCCCATTGCTTGTCTTCTCCTCCCCCCAAGTGCCTCTGTTCCTACATTCTCTTTTGTGTAGAAGGTTAGAGAGAGGGTATGCAGGAAAGCTAGGACTCTTATCTTGTGCAAGTCCAGTTGGGCTTTTGATTCCCTGTGCTGCTACTCCTGCCTGATCTTTTCCCTCACCTCTGCTTCCCACTTGACCCCGCTCTAAGTTTCTTCAAGCTGATTTTTCAGGCCAGTGGATCAGCGGCAGGTTAGAAGGGGGGAGGGAGGAACTCTTTCATGGGGATGGGGTGAAGGTAGGAAATTAAAAGGGGTTGGAAGTGGAGGTTTAAGAGATTCATAGTAACATTCTCCTTCATGATCTGAAGGCTGGAAGGGGAATGGCTCTTGCCCTGGCCTGTGTAGGGATAGAGCAGCTCAGAAGCCTTCCCGGCCAGGTCTCTCCCAAAGTTAATCTGCCTCATTTCTCTTGCTAGATCTAAAAGAAATGATTCGGTTTGTGAAACCTGCTCCCATTGATCAGGAACAGTCCAAGAAACAGAAGAAGCAGCAAGAGGGAGGCAAGAAGAAACCGGCTGGAGGTGACAGTGCCCTGGAACAGCAAATGCAGACCATGGGTGTAGATGATGCCTAACCCCACCTCATCCCATTGGCAGGCAGCCTGGTTTTAGCAAACCACTTCACTTGGCCTGAACTTGCCCATGTGTAATGTGCGGAAAATACTGATTTCACCTACCTTGCAGAGGATCCATCCATGCCTGCCCAGCACTTTCAGCTGCAGCTAGGAGTGCTAGGCAATATTCTTCCCAGGAACCACGTCTCTTCAACTATTAGGCAGAATATATGGCTTCCTTGGAGACCCTCACCCCAAATCTGACCAAAGGGGACAAAGTGGTGATATCATATTCATCCTCATGTAACAGAACACTGTTCCCCACCTGAATATCACAGGGTAAGAGATAAAAAGGGAAAAATATGGATAGGCTCTCAAGTTCCGTGTGCAGTTTTACTGTATTGGTAAGCTATTTGCATGGATGTAGGCTTTTATCTTGGATTCAGTACAAGGCAATAAATCAAACTATTGAGAAAGCAAGTGTGTACTTCTTTGCCTCATTGATATTGCCTTTTATTTGGATTTACCTTGCTTGGTGGATCAACCATCCCCACACAGATATTCACCTGGAGGCTGCAGTTGATGGAGCAGTTCTCTTAGTAGGAGTAGCACATGGTAAGGTTGAAGTCACCTATGCTCTCTCTGCTCCCTAGGCAGTAAATGTGTACTTTGCTCTATGTTTTGGTAGTGTTGAAGGTGATGTAGCCACCATGGTTCAGGAAATGGGCAAGTGTGTTTGTGGGTGATCTCTTTTATTGGACCAACTATGTGGCTGGGATAGATTTAAACAAGCTGTTTGGTTATCACAGTACCCTTCCTTGTGTCTCACCACCACCTGTCTGCAGTGCTGAACCACTGACTACGTTATACTGATTCTGGTTCCAGCCAGAACACTTCCAGGTCCCATGTGTAGTAGGTCTCAGATCTACATAGTGCTTTGCACTTTGATTTAAAAAAGTCGATTGCCTCAGTCACATAACAGATGAGAACTTCACCACAGGAATCCTCTCACCTTTACACTTCCAAAGTGTGGGTATTTCTTCTTGTCAACTGGCTGAAATCTTTCTTTTCCCTGTTATTGTGCCAGCTAGTTCCTGTCTTCCACTCCAGAGGTGACTGCATCATAATGCTTTGTTTTAATTTTTATGTTAGTCTGTGAGGAATGAGGCTATTGACATTTTATTGGAGAATGGGTAACTTCTTGGGGCACAGACTGACCTAGAAGGGTGTCCTATTCATTGCACTGCTGACTATCCCAGGGTTTTCTGTTATGGATAATTAAAAAAAGACCAAAAAACCCAGAAAGGCAGCAAATCATTTAACTCCAACCATGCTGTCACCCCTGTTTTGGATGGATGTTGTAAAGTTGTACCTTATTCTCCGTTTTGCTTTTCTCTCCTTCACTTCTTTTTCCCCTTTCTCCTCTTTTGATTTCCCATTCCCCTTTTACCTATTTCCTCCTAAGCTTGCCATATGCCCTCATGGTAGGTGTACCTCCATTTGAGAAACACTGGCTTGAACTCAGCAGAGCTGAGAAGAGCATCTTCCAGGCTGTGATACCAGGACGGCTGTTAATTCTTTGCTGTGGATAGTAAGCAAGTGCATCAGCCCCTGCTTCCACAGAGATTGCAAAGTAGCCACTGAGGAGACCTTGCATGTTGCTGGCTTCCTTCTGAGACCCCACCTTTCTGCATCAGATAGACTACTACAGGGGTCTTCCGATCTCAGCATCCTGTAATAGCAGGACTGTTGTCAACATTTGTAGTAGTTGGGAGTACAGGTAGCTGCTGGTAGGACAAGTCCCCTTGTTCCCAGTGCTGCAGGAGGCACTACAATGCGAGGGGTTTAATGTATGGGGTGAGCGGTGCAGAAGGCTTCTATTGTTCTCTTTCTAGGGATGGTATAACAGGGGTCCCAACCCGTATTACTGAGAGTGGGGTCAGGCAGCTAATCAAGTATTGGCTCTAGGAAGCAGCGGAGCACAGATTGCTTAATCAAGCCTACAGTGGGCTCATAGAAAGCTCCTGTAGCCAGTTCTACGAGGTAGAACTGCAGGGGTGTGCGCCGGCTGGCCGGGTGCAGGGGCAAATTGCAGGCTGCAGAGCCGTAAACCTGGAGATGGATTGGTAGTACCTGGGCCCTCTTGCAAGGGGAGAGGGGGCCAGGCGACTAAAAGGGGGAAGGGAACTTAAGCCTAGCACCTAGGCTAGAGAGGGGAGTTTGGCTTGGGATGGGCTAGCAGAAGGAACCCTGCATGGAGTTGAGAAACACTGCTGGAGATGATGGGAGCTGTGAGAAGCCAGTGGAACTGAGTAGAAGTCTAGGGAGGGCTTGGAGAAAGGTGCAGTTGATTGGGTTTGGGTTTTAGTTATTGGTTGTATTTGAACTGTGTGGCTTGAGAGTGGCTGAAGGGGAGAAAAGGAGGCTGCAGTGGGTGCCAGGGAGGCATCTTGCATTTTGAGTTGCGGGCTAAGGAGCCCAGTAAACAAAGGAGGGCCTCAGAGCCAAGGAAGACTACAGAGAAACATGGCCAGGCCAGGCCTGTGGACTCTGTAGGGGTCAGTGCTACATCCAGAAAAATAGAGATCCTGGCAGTAGCAAAGGGGTTTCTGGACTGACAGCCTGGCTGTTCAAAGGCAGCCTCAAGGCATGGCAGGCGAAGTAGGAGAGCACACTAGGTGCCAGGGATGGAAGTGGGCTGGACAGGCTGCCCAAGAGACTCAAAGTCTTGGTACAGATGGCACCTTCCATCATAAATTGGGCTTCCCCAGCCAGTCTTGTTCTCACTGTCAATAGACCTATTGCTCAAAGTCTTGTTTTGATTGAGCTCCTAACAGTACTCAGGGCTGAGGAGTATACACAGTCCATGTCTACCTTCACCTCCATGTTGAGCAACAGCACAAAAGAACTACACTACTTTATACACAACCCTTTTTATTGCTGTAGGAGATGCCAGTTGCAGTGTCCTTTCCACTCCTATAGTCCACGAGATAAATGTACAGTGGAAAACACCCAGCATTGCTGTACTTGATACAGTTCTTCACAGAATGGATAATGTAGTATACCACGTCCTTGCAAACCTTCTGTGCTCTAAATCCTGCTGGGCAAGCTTGACACTGCAGGAAATAAAACTGCTTTCCTCTTATTTGTTGCCTATTTTCTTGATTATAAATGCTGCTGCTAAATGAGCATCCTGCAGCAGTGATGGAGCATCTCATGGTGACCATTCCAGGTGCTCCTCTCTGAGCTGGGACTCTACATTGGGCCTAGTTAGTCACTTAACTCATGGCTGTGCTTTGTGTTGAAAGGCTGATCTAAGCATACGCATCACTTGCTTTTCACCTACACCTGACAGGCTGTTTATCTTTGTAAGGAGGTGCAGCCTTCAGGGGCTGAAACCCCACCTGCAGGGGGGGCAGTAGTTCATAGGCGGCCTGGCTGGAAGGCTGGGAGTCAGCTGCAACTTGTGATGAATGAATGAGGGTTAAAAGCTCCAGGAGTAGAGTGCTAAGGAAGGGAGGGAAGGCTGTGGTGTTAAAGGAGCAGCACAGAGCCTGGGTTGCCCTCCTAAGGTCTCAGAGAAGACCACATGTTTTGGTTTCTGTAGGGACAAGCTTGTGCCATGGAAAAATAAACTTCCTGGAAACACAGAACTTAGTCCTGTGCTAGCTGTCTGTGCAGGAAGGGGTTTCACCCTTATGAAACCACTGCTCATGTCCTGGTGGTTGGTCCATTGCAACCTGGAGCTTCAGGATCTTTCTTCACAGGACCCTTTCTTCAGTTGCTTCCCTGAGGTTTTTCCACCAGCCTTTTGTTTAAAACTTCAGAGCTGTTTCCAGTCCCTACCACGTTTCTTCCTACCCTTCCCTGGCTCCCTGTCCCCTCTCCTTGTGTGGGAGGAAAGCCGGGCTGGAAGAGATCTTACACTGGTGAGGGGGAGTGTGGTTATCTCTCTTGGGCGCTTTGAGGGAGTGTGGTTAATTGATCCACCAAGATGGTGATTTTTTTTTCCCTGTTCCTGACCTTAAAGTCATTTGACTTTTTGTGCCTCAGTTTCCCCAGCACCTGTGGCTGGGAGGCACTATTAATTCGCATCTCCTGTGAGCTCCTCAGAGGGGAGGAGACTATGAAAGGATCAAACGTTGCATATGAGGCAGAGGCAAGGCTTGAAGGTGAATGCCAGGAGGAGGGTGGGTCTGAGAGTGAGGGGCTCTGAAGATTTGAGTTGGGTTCCCACTGCTGACATGTCCCATCCAGTGGCCCTCTGTGCTCCCCATGTGGATGATAATGCCCCTTATTCTTGCCATGAGGACAAATACATTAGTTGTTGCATACTTGGCTGTTGGAGCAATCAATCCTCAAGGCCCTGAGTGAGCCAAGTGTGCACTTCTTTTCTTGGCTGAGGGCTGAACTGTACAGAAGCAAACAGTAATATGGCCAAAGTTAGAGGGCAGGATGGGCTTCAGCAGCAGTGTGCTGGATCAGTGGTTCTCAACCTTTTTTGCACCAGGATCCATTTGTAAATATTGATGGCCAGTCCCAACCCACTGCCCCTCAATCCCTGCCTGCTGCCCCCACGCTCCAGCCCCCCTGGCCCCAAGCAACCCCTCGCAGACTGGAACTCTGCCAGCCTGCAAGGGAAAAGCCAGGCTCCCATGTTTTATTCCTTTAAAGGAAAATCCATTTTTAAAATTTGTTCCTGACCCCTTTCATATATTCTTGTGACCCACTTTGGGGTCGTGACCCATGGGTTGAGAAATGCTGTGCTCGACTGCACTAGGTATCTCTTACTGCAATCACTCTGGATGGCAAACCAGGACCTGAAAGGTGGGAATCCCTAACTACCTCTAGCTAGGTCTTGGAAAGGTTACTCCTCTCAGTCCAGGTTTGCTGGCTCCATCAGCGTTGAGCCCTCTGCCCCCACAGTCACTAGGCAGTGTGGTTCAGTGTTTAGGGCATTAGCTCGGTGCTTTGGAAATCTGGATTTAGTTCCCTGATTCATCCACCACTTCCCTGCATGATCTCGGGCAAGTCACTTTGAGCCTTTAGGTGCCCATTGGTGAAAGGAGATTGCGCTGCCCTACCTCCCAGGAAGGATGAGGTGAAGGCTTTCTGATAATAGGACGGGGGCCAGAGATGCCCCAGAACGGATGGCTCTTCCGCAGCCGGGGTCCTGCTGTGCAGTCTTTCACAGCACAGGCGGGCGCTGGCCAGCTGCTGGTATGTAGCTGCACTCCCCAGAGAGCTGCCTGGCTGTTTTGCCTCTCTGCACTCAAGCAATTCTGCTCACGCAGCAGTGCCGGAGACTAATGAGATGTTGGTAGGGAAGAAAACAAAGTTATTAATCATCAGATGGGGAATGAAATCCTGCCCACCTGCTGGCAGGGCTGGGAGCTGTAGGTCTCTGCAGAGAAGCAGATCAGCCTCCTGCCCTAACACGCAGGTGCTGCCTCAGCTTGCAGCTTGCCTGCTCAGATCAG